GTTTATATGTATATTCAACTATTAAATAAAAGAAATAGAGGATAGACCTCTCTTTAAAAAAAAAAAAAAAAAATAGAAAAATTCAAAACAAACATTCGTTTTTCCCAAAACCACCAATAACTCAAAATTTTGTTTATAAAACCATCTTTGGTGTTTTAATAAAAAAAATTTCTTTCAAAATTTTACATTTAATATAATCTTTAAGCACTTTAATGCTAAACAATATATATTTTAAAGAAAGATTTTATAATTTTAATACTTTATTGTTTTGATTTTATGTTACACCTGATCTTGTAATGTAATTGAACAAAAATCATGTGATTGTGCTCTCCCATTTGCTACTACTAAGTTACTAACCTCAGGCTAAGACAGCTGCTAAGGTATGCCTTTTTGAACATGCCCAAAAATTTTTCTGTGCCTCCAACCCTACTGAACCTCCTTATTGGCAGGCAGTTTAATAGCAATGGTCCTCCAGAGTAAGGGTTACCCTGACTGCTAGTGTTGGTTTTGGCCATAGTGTGCTAATGATGCAACTAAAATATATTTAAGCACCCATTAGGGTAGCCAGATAAATGTTGGGTTGCTGGTTGGGTTAGTATAGCCTAGTAATAGGTTGTAAATAATTCAAAAATTATGTATGTACTTATAAGTAGATCTAATAAAGACGTCACCGGCTTTCTTAGCCAAGTAAAAAAATAAATAAATAAAATCTGTAGGCTTTTTTAGACAAATTTGTCTGAAAAATTTTTATAAATATATTTATAATCAATTATAGTCTAATTAAATTTAATTCAGACCAATCCATGTTCAAATTAAACCACAAATATATAATTTTACTAATCTACCATATACTTATATACGCATACTGATATATTTAAAAAATTTCTAAATGTACACATAGTGTATGATACACGGGTATTAATTCGCAAATCCGTGTAACATGCAAATGAATAAACGAAAAGTTAATTACTATCCAAGGTTAAGGTAAGGGTGGCTTGAAACGGGGCCTATCAAAATTTCGCAAGGAATTTTTTTATTAATACTAAAAGGTGGTTTCATAAACGATTTTTTAAAGAAAGCAATAATTTGACGTTACACCTGATAGTGTAATCTGATTGGCTTTCTATATACCCGTGTTTTATACACTATAAAGTGTTCAAATAGAAATTGCCTATTATTTAAACTGATAAAATTTAAAATTTCAACTTCAAATTTTACTAGTGTAAAGCGATAAAGCTATAACGTAAATTTGGTAATCGTACATATGTCCAATTGACACAATTGGACATATTAATCATGTAATTTTTTTGAATATTGTCCAATGTCTAATTAAATTTATTTTGACATTGTCCAATACTAACTCTGGTTTTTTTAAGTGTGAAGAATGGAAACAAATCATTAGTGAAAACCTACAAAGTTGCAGAATCAATTATATCAAGGTCGCTCTCCTCTCGTTTCTCTACATAAAGCGATTAATAACCATATCTTAGGAATCCTGCCTAACTTTATAACTGACGACATCGAATTTCAAATTATAAGAATGATGGACGATATATAAAATTATTAAAGGTTTCTTTATCAGTGCATTATTTTAAGATCATCCATGTAATATATATATATATATATATACAAGTGGTAAATCTATCTTTAACCCTAAATTTGCTTTTCAAATATGCCAATCGAAAAATGGGTTGGTAATACTGGTTAGCATTAAGTGTTTTAATATTATTTATCGTTCTCATAAAAAAATATAAAAAGCATCAACATTTTTAATTTTAATAAAGCATTTACATATCATAAAGAATCCGAACATGTCTTCAATAAATGCTATGAAATTACAATATATATATAACCAAATGCAATAACTATATATTTGAAAGGATTAAAATGGTTGATAATGATATTAAAATACACGGACATTTAACAAAACGAAATAACATTTATTAAGCCGATCATTTATTTTTTGTCTGGATCATAAATATTTAAACGTCATTAGTGTCAGTATAAACACTTGTATTAATAGTAACTCGTAAAATAAATAAATAAATAAAATAAATAAATATTAACAATGTCACACTAAGAGAATAATGGCAGAATTAAACTTGAACTGTGGAATAATCATCTTTAGTTATTTGTACTTTTGGTTTGTTTTCAACTTCTTTGGATGAGAGGTTTTGTTTGGCCTTGAAAGTATCAATCATGTTATGGAGGTCTTGGCAAACTTGTTCTTGCTCATCTAATTGAGCCATCAGCTCCTCAATGAGGGTTTGTTGTTCAGTCATGGTAGTCGATTGTTCGATTATTAAATTATTAGCTACTTCCAATTCATTTCGATATTGGGCCCGATCACGTTCTAATTAAACACTTTCACTGTTTAATAATAAATAAATTAAATCACAATATTTACTAGTCAAACAAGCAAACCTTTTTCTTGCAAAAGTTCTATTTTTTCTGCTTTTAATTTTTCATTTTCAGCTAAAATTTTTGCTTGTTCTGCACGAAGTCTTTCAAGTTCAAGACAAAGTTGAGAATTTTCCGTGCGGAGATTGTCCATTTCGGTCGATGGAGTGTTACCAGATCGTACACTCAAAGAATTGCTTTTCTTGAGGTTGAACAATGTTCTCGTTGAAGGATTAGACTTTACGTTGGGATTACTAGTAAGTTTTGAGGTGCCGAGAGGATCATATGGTGCTACACGCGTATTTCTGCCAAACTGTGGAAAACTTTCATCATTTTTTCTCTTCAATGAAGATTTATTTTTCAAAATGATTTAGTCAATTGTATTACTTTAGGAAATAAAAGTTAACAAATTAATCACCATTGCATTCTTTGAATCATTTTTCATTTTAAGCGGCTGCCTCAGGCGAGTGTTCATTGTTGCACTATGACTTGGCTGAGAAGACTCCTCATCATTTGTAGAAGATTGAGATGGTATGAATGAAGAAGCTTGCTTTGAGACCGTAGATGGCGGTTTCAAATTTGTTCGTATCGTAGAAGATTTTTGTGAGGTTGGAATCGTTAAAGATTTTTGACTAGTCGTAATTTCACTATGCCCAGTTGTGGGCAAGCGTGAAGGCAAGCGAGAAACTGATGACATTTCTATAAATAATCGTTGACAAAGAGAGTTACGACTAAGATTTGAATCGTAACCTTTTAAATCAGTTTCGTTATGATACTTGAAATATGTTCGACTTTTAACAAGACCAAATTATAATATTAAGTACTTGAATCTGTAATTTATAAATCAACAAAAGGTCCACAACAAGAATAACATGTACTTAATCAATTTTTGGTTATACACATTGTACAAAATATTCAATTTTGGACGATTGGTTAAATTTCAAGCAAACACAACTTTAATGTCTAAACGAAGTGCAGACACATACGACTTCAGGAATATTGCACCGCACCAATGACAACAAAAATAATAAAAATAACGCTGATCATCATAAATTAAAGGTTTTATTTTTTTGGATTAATCACAAACATATGTACATTGTTACATATATTAGGCAATGAAAAAACTATGCATAGATATGCGATTATGTGCATTTTGAATACTATATAAGTCATCATTTACCAAGAATTCGGTATATCTAAGATTTAGTACGTATTCGTAGAGGTTCGCATCTATTGTCACTTAGCGCAGGATCTTAGAAGATCATTAGGTTTCGTAAAAATACGAACTTTTAGTGTCAAATGTTAAGCAGCAACGACACCACCTAATCTTAAATATTAATTCTAATATACAATTCATGCTTTCATTGTATAATTCCAAATTTCTGATAGAAACGCGAACAAAGTTGCAGAATAAATTTTTAGCAAAGTTTTATACATATTCAAAACATTCTATGAATACATTTATAAATTTTTTTATTATTAAATATAATATTATATAAAGATCTAGGCGCCAAATAAGATAAAGTAAAATAAGATGACGCGAAAGCACTTTATCACATTAATTTATTAACAATAGACAAGACAATGTCATTAAATCAAGTAATAATAACAATCTACTGTGATACTTCATTCGCTGGCTTCCACAGTTTTATTGCCCCATCAATGCCAGTGGATATCATTGCATCTATGCGAGGATGATACTTCACGCATGTAACAACTCCTGAATGAGCATTACTTATTGTAGTCAATACCTTTCCCTGATATAAAATTCAATTAATATAAGGACTTGAACAATTACTAGTAAAAATTTGTAAACTCTGTAACACAATCATTACCTCCAGTAAATCCCAAATGTATATAGCACCATTTTCTGATCCACTGATAACATACGTATCATCCCTAGATAAACAAGAATGAATCTTGTATGATGAATTGTTATGTCCTTTAAAGCTAAAAAAAAACGACAGTTGAAATAATAAATATAGGATATATAACCTTTCATTTATTTATTTGGATCAAGTATAATATCGGGGACTCCATTAATAAAATTGATTTATAGTAGGGGTCCCCTATATTATTATATTATGCTTGATCCCTTCTTTTTTTTTTGAATTCCACTTACGAGTTCAACATTCCACCATTCTCTCTGTCCATTAATCTAATAACATTGTCCAAACTACTTGCAAGTATGCAATTAAAGTCATTAGACACAGATACTGATGTCACCGGATCTTTGAAGAATCAAGATAGTAAGCCCCATGAAATGATTTTTAAGCATCTTAACGGTTACATCATAAAAAGACTTACGCGAAATTAAGTCTGTCAAAAGAGTACCCATTCGAATGTCATGCGTTCGTATATTTCCATCAGTACATCCAGATACAATTTCATATTGAGAGATCTGTAAAGACGTAATACTATCTTTTGCTTCTTCTAAAATCTGGATTGGCATACGACTTTGTGACCTGATAGTAATAGCAAATTAATGAATGAATAAAAAAAAACTTATAAATTTAATATTCATTATTATAAAGAATAATACTTACCTACAATCCCACAATCGTATAGTTGTGTCATATGAACCTAATAAGTAAAATCAAGAATGTTATGAATGTTAAAGAAAATATAAACATGCGTACCATTATTCCCAAGATAAGTACCACTGGCAATTACTGTCCCCTCCGCATTAAAATCAACGGTGTTCACGCGCTATAATTATTTAAATTTCACTTAAAAATCATATACAATTATTGTAGGAGGATTGCGATAGTCTAAATTGTACTTGATTGTGGCCCTCAAAACGTCTGATCGTTTTTCCAGTAGCAACATCCCAGTAATAGACTTGACGATCGCCTCCACAAGAGACGAAACGCGAATGATCCATGGTACTTAAAAGTGATACATGAATTGAATAAGCTAGAATTAAAACATTCTTATTTTAAATAACCTTGCAAAAACTTACACATTGATATCTAATACTTCTTTTCCATGTCCGGTATATGTTTTAATACGTAAACCGGTCTCTGGATTCCATAAGCACACCCTTTTGTCTTGTCCTCCACTGAGAAGGTACTCACCACTTGAGTTATAGCGTGCAATGTGAACGGGTCCCTCATGCGAATCGAAGGTTCGAATGCATCGTGTTGGTAAATTTTTTCCTGACATTGTCACTATCGATATGTCGATACGTGAGGGCAAAATCGCCACCCAAAAAATTCCTGAAGTCATGTGATATAATTCATGCAATATTCGTAACACGACAGATTATAACAGCACTAAAACCATATTTTTATGAGCTCTTTCTTCTACAAAAACATTTTTTAGTTGTATCTTTTCATTAGTTAACGTTAATAATTGGTGCTTCGTTGATGGATTTGATGGTATTCTTCATAGGACGAATTTATATGATTTTCTGTTTAAATCTAATTTTTTTTTTTTGAAAAAAAAAACTACAGAGAAAATTGAAAAAATAGTTATAGAAAGTATTATCGGAATTATAAAACTCCACTATTGAAAATGATCAAAATCCCCTTTTTGTTTAAAAGAAGTTAGCATGGTAATAACCTAGTTCGATCTGTTTTACTTCTCTAAAACAATGAGATTTTGATCATTTTCAATAGTGGAGTCCTACAACCCTAATACGTGAGATTTTCTATATAGTTTTATTTTTTTAAAAAAATACTTTAAATTGTATAAATAGCGTATAATTAGGTAGACTTAACAACCAATAATATGAAAGTCGTCCTTTGATGGTTATACTAGGGTTATATAGAGGGTTCCTTTTCTGAAGTAAAATCAAGTGCAGTCTGTATAATTCAAGTTTGTTATGCTAGGGTTATATAGAGGTTCCTTTTCTGAAAGTGCAGTCTGTATAATTAAAGTTTGTTATGCTAAATTTATTATTAGTGACCTAGTATATGGTATGTCGTTGATTAGCGTTTAAATCAAAAATACCTCAAATTGACTTGTACTTGGAGAGTACTGCATAGGGCTCTGCAAGTGTCGGCACACTTGCTATTAAAACAGTGCCCATGCCCGTGCTTCGCAGAGCCTACTGTGTAGTACTGTGAAGAAGAGAGTACGATTTTAAGAGAGGTATTATGATCCGATCTTTTGGCAGAGATACATTTTTATTGGACATTACTAGTCATGCAAGCCTAATTTATAGTTGAGTATATGTCAGAATTTTTGCGCGATGGTATTGAAACATACTCGGTACTCTTATTATGATAAATAAATGCAAAAATAAAAAAATTAGAGTGTTAACTGTGTTACATAAAATCTGGTAGTGGTAAATGTAGTGTGGTAAGAACATTCTCAGCTAACCAGATTCAAGATTTTATTAGTGGTTTATACACACCGTTTCACTACGTTTCTGATATGTCAAATTACGAAATCTGGTTCTTTTTTTTTTTTTTGCAATAATTACAATAAGAGTTAAGTGGTAGATCGCAGTTGAAGGGTAGTAAAAATCGGCTATTTATAATGTTGAAATGCCAGATGTTTCTGGCAATATGTAAAAATCATATAGTAATGAAGTTGAAAATGCCAATAGCTCGTGATTTACTGAACCAAGTTTAATAATTCTGCCACTATTAGAACCGGAACAATTTGCTCTATAATATTTGTTAGAAATTCAAGGAAAGTTTACTTGGCACAAAAAAAAACTTTTCATTGTAAGCTAGTTGCACTCCACCTATAAAAAAAACTCCAACAATTTCTACTACGTATTAAATTTGCTACCTCTTAAAGATTATATGCGGGTTAATCAAACTTTCGTGATTTGATTGGCTAGTTATATCGGGTAATCTCGTGATGTACGAATCTCCTAAAGAAATTTTTTTAAAATATCTCGATTTTTTATTATGCAAATCAATTTCCATCTATAATTCAAAAATGTAGCACATGTCAAAATTTATCCAAATATGTCAAAAACTCAAATTTCATTTGTTGGACAGTATCGGCCTTTTCTACTACCTTCTCAATTCTTTACATCTATGACACATCCTTATTACAGTGAAACCTTTCAAGGCAGCCTTATTAAATGCGACATCTCTCTAAATGCAATTTTGAACCCTGGCCTAACTAAATATATACATGATTTCTATAATTGCAATTTTTATTTGTTCTTTAAGTGTATGTTATCAAAAGTCCAGTCTCTGCAAGTTGCACTTAAAAGGGTTTGACTATATGTAACACCTAATCAGAATTAAGATTGTGTACGAACACCAAACTCGAATTGAACATACATTTCGCAAAAATCTGTATTAATTTAGAGTTAGATTAGAGCTATAAGAGATTATGAAAGAGATATTTTTTGTAAAGTAGATTCATAGCAAAATTTTAAGAAAAGATTTTTCTTAATTTTGTCTATTTGATTACTACGTTCCTGGTATACGGCCGATTAAAATCACTACGTTCTTGGTACTGTATGTACTAATCTTGTGCTTCCTACGTAATATTTTGACCGTTCTATTATTCGGATATCTTATCCAGATTATCTAATTATCGTATTTCACTTAAGACATTCATCTGATGGGCTAATTTTTATCATAATAGATCTACCCGTGACTGCTCATAATTAAGTTTTAATAAGTGGAAAAACCATTTAAAAAAACCATCTAAAAAAAGCTAATAAATATACACGCAAAGAATTTAGTTTATATCGATATTTGGAAAATAGATAGTTACACATAAAGCGGGGTAAATGTGATCTCCTTGCGTCAGATGATGCAAAGCCTGAGTTAGGATTAGAGACTGATTAGAGTTGGGGTGAAAATCACTAGGTAGTTTAGGCCAATTACTGAATTATTACAGATCATTTAACGTTGTAAATTGGATCCGCGCGCATATATCAGCGCTCTCCGTATATATAAAGCACGTATAAATTTCTTTTTTGTACATATTTTTGTTATAACACTACTGCAATATGACGCAGGGATCCATCTGGACGCACAACATTGCTAATAAACCTAAATCATTAAGATATTAACAACCCTAGATACACTACGTACGTACGTACGTACACGACCGAATTTAAACATTAAATCCGACTCTTTTACCATTTAAGTTCGACATAACAAAATTAGATGAAAGCATTTTCAATACTTTCACTATAATTTCGCACGGTCCAATGGACTGATATATTTTATCTTCTAAGCAAAGTTTGATTCTTTGCAAAGCAAATACATATTAACATTCGTTTAAAAGGCTTGTGCATAATCGGAGGTCTTTTCTTGTATAACATATAGAATAGATTATCTGAAATAGATATATAATTATCTGAAATGATCTGTTATTTGTAATGGTAAACTGTAACGGTAACGGTAAAGTTCAACAGATCTGAAAGTGCAGTCTGTATAATTAAAGTTTGTTATGCTAAATTTATTATTAGTGACCTAGTATATGGTATGTCGTT